AATCCTCTCTCCTCGTACATCTTGTTGTCCACGTAAGTGTTTATAAGTGGGATTGCTGGGTGAAGAGTTGCACGCTTTCCACGTCTGGTTGCATCTTCCCGAGGTGCCTGTGGTGATCACCCTCGTGGCCACAACCAGGGCTTACACACCCGGGAGACTTTGCTCCTTCCCCGGGAAGATTCCCCTCCTCCTTTCCTGTATGATTTGGGTGTGTATTTTTCTCAGAAGGGGTCATGTCTGGAAATGCTTTTTTCCCCTTTCGCGTATACATTTTCTTAGAAATGCAGCTGTTCCAAGTAACACCTCGTTTCTCCTGGTGTTTCCAGCACTAGTGCATGTTGAAGCCCTGAGGAAAGTGGCCGGAGGTAGCAGCGGGCTAAAGGAGGATTTCAGTAGCAGTGGCTCACCGCCCTTCTCTGTGTCTTTATGAAGTGCGCTGCTTTTCCGATACCTTTGATTTAAAATTTTTTTTTTTTTTACATTCATTCATCTTTGAGGGACAGAGACAGAGCACAAGCAGAAGAGGGGTAGAGAGAGGGAGACACAGAATCCGAAGCAGCCTCCAGGCTCCGAGCTGTTGGCACAGAGCCCGACGTGGGGCTCGAACTCACAAACCGCGAGATCATGACCTGAGCCGAAGTCGGACGCTCAAGCGACTGAGCCACCCAGGCGCCCCATTCCCTGTTACCTTTGAACTTGGCGTGTGTATTTCTTAACTGGCTGCTTGTGTCTTTTACTAAGCCCTGTGTGGGGACCAGGAGAGTGAGTTCAGGATGTGGGACTCTGCTCCCTCAGGGTGAGTAGAATTCGGTCTCAGCCTGTTGGTAAGCGACCTCTGGTTAGTGGCAGCTGACATCTCATGGGTGACAGCAAGAAGTCACTTTCTGGCATGCCCAGAGCTGTGTCCAGGATGGCGCTGAGCTGGCCCTGCTGATGGGGAGGGGCGGGATGCCCAGTGCGTGCCGGGGGAGGAGGAGGAGGAGGAGGGCGGTATTAATGGCTTTGGGCTCCGTCCGGGGTCTTCTGTACTGACTTTGTAGGGGTGGCCACCTGTTGCACTGTGACAGTAAAGGCCGAGGGAGTGTTCTTTTCGCGGTGCCTGCTGTTGCTTATCATGAACAGGCTGTTCACTGAGTCTTGCACAGCTCTGCCGAAAATTGGACACAAAATATACCCAGCGCGCTTTCCTCTCTTTCCTTCTTCAGAAAGTGTTTCCTAAATGTCTTTCCTACTCCCTCCCCTGGTAGAAATCCCAGTGGGCTAAGGTAAAAGGGACAGCCGTGGACACTTACTGAACGTTGATTAGCATGGAGCATGTGCTAGAGAGTCTTCTGAATGCTTTTTGTGCACAGAGCCCTCCTTTGCATTTGCACTTACAGTGCTCAAGATGATCCTCCCGGGTTGGTGGTGGTATTCTCCTTCTTAATTTTTTTAATGTTTATTTATTTTTGAGAAAGAGATAGAGTGCAAGCGAGGGAGTGGCAGAAAGAGACGGAGCCACAGAATCCGAAGCAGGCTCC